ACACACACGCTTTGAGTAACTCCAACTCTTAATTGAGCTATTCAACTGTGCTTTTTACCCACTTTAGTGCAGAAGACCCAAAGACTATAACATTCTTCTAAAACTGCCAACCCCCTACTAACACCAAGTCATTTCAGTGCTTTAAACCACTGTAGCCACCTGATATAACCTCTATATATCGCCCCATCTACCTTTCTATCCACCTGAACCATCCCATTTTGAGCTACTCAATGGAATGTCTATCCATCTCAACCTTACGTCACCCCATAATACACCATTACAATTCAAATAAATCAACTAGCTCAACTTCTCTATGTGTTCTTTATTGTACTAACATTAAGCCAGACCGCGTTGCTTATCTTAATATTGCGTTCTGGCCTGAGTGGGCACCCTGTGCTACGCTTTATAGCACACTCCTCCCACCCACTGCTACTTACTGTGCGCTCTTATGAGCATTACAAGGAGTGAACTCTCCAGGGAGACCATGGGATCTGAATTGTAATTCGCACCTCTATTTATAGTTTTGAGGAAGCCCTAAATATGCCCAAATAGAGTACTTCTATTAAATAGACTCGTTCTCCACTGGTCTACTAATTAACATTGTAATTGACTGAAGCAGATCTAGACTCACAACAGACCAAACAAACACTAAGTGAAAGTAAAACTCAAGAAGAACTCAACCAAATTTCAAAATGAACACTATTGAGTTTATTTTCAAGATTAGCCAGATAGGAAAGTAATTGAATATATAGTTGAACTTGATCAAATGAAGAACTGATTAAGAAAGATAAGCTGAGCATTATACACACACTTAACATTCAGACATTAAGGCAGTGAACAGTAATGTAAGCCTAAACTAGATCAGCCGATAAACCATCAACAAAAAAGGTGCTTTTGAGATTAACATTGGACCAGAAATGAGATTAGACCAGAGACAAGACATATAATAGACAAAGACGGCACTATAATCCAAAACAGCTGGTTTATTTTAAACAGTAGGTTAGATAGAACACATGGTAGCAACAATACTTTTCCAATCCAAAGTGCGCTATAGGTTCATTATTAGTACAACCGAGCAACTAGGCGTTCAAAGACAATATTGTTTGGAAAGTTTGCGTTAGCTCGATAACTTGGGGGTCCTGCTCTCTTCCACTAAACTTCTCAACTTCTTCCACGGGCAGCATGTTATAGGTCTCTAATATAATCTCCTTTAGGGTGTGCTGAGAGCTGATTAGGAATATATGCTCCAGTGGCATAGTTGGCGGTAATGAAAAGGTGTCAGTGATTGTAGCAGGGTTAGCAGAACTAGTATATTTAACCGCAACGTCTTCCTTTTGGCCCAGGTCATGCTTGGTGATTGGTTGCGTATAGAGCATGCCTGGCAAGCGCTTGAAGTCCAAGATGCAGTGAGCGCAGATAGCACGGTCAATAGCAACAAATAACACGCAAGGTCCATTTAAACTAGCTGTTGTGGTTGGGGTTGCAGGCTGATATGGCTTGTTGCAAATTGAGCAGCGGCCCCATAATATAGTATGTTCAGACAAGTCTTTCAATTTCTGGACTGTTTGGCGATCCCGGGCATTCAGACAAGCAATGGCTTGCAGGTCCTTTGCTTGAATCAAATTACAGAGGGATAGAGAGAGACAATAGGGATACAAAGAGTCCGACCAAGTTTTGTTGTTTAGACAAGAATCGAGGCTATAATTACAGGCATACATGGTTATGCTTGTCTGAGAGCCGGCAATCATAGCCATACCGAGCCCTTCATTGCCGATATGTTCAGATGGGTGGTTGATAATGAGAGTATTCTTAGTAACAGCAAACAGTCCCATAAAATCAGCATGGTTAAAGTGTTTAGTCGACCGAACATCAAGCCAGTTGAGTCCCGGGAAACGAGTTCGAAGCCAGCGTAAAATAGGCGTTACTAATTGTGTTAGTAAGGAATAAGGGATCAGATATTTTGGCGAGTATTCATCTATCGAGAGGGAAATAGGGTCATTAGACGCGTTGGGATTCCATTTTAAGGAAGGCGCCCACATCAACTTACAAGAGATCGTTGGCGGGGGCGATATGCATTCTTTAGGGGTTGCAACAAGTCGGGCGAGGTCCTGATTTAAGAGTTCACTGAAGGAGTCAGAGATGTAAACTTCTAGACGGCGAAAGCAAAACCGCATAAATGGCCGCAAGTGATCTACTACTTTGGGCACTAAACCACTCATTTGGGCCTCATCGCACATACGCAAGAACGAAACCAAGAATGTTATGGAAAAACGGAACGTTGTTTGTTTCGTATTGATCCACAGCCTAATAAGTTCGGTAGAGTCACTAAGATCCCGCCATTGCCGGGCGAAGTTTTGGCTTTGGATATAGTTAGAATACTCCCAATACACTTGATTCTTAACTCTGTCTAGAACCCCATGGTTGTTGCTAGCAGTGGCAACCCACGAATCGTAATCACCACTAAGGTAGATTCCTACATCTTCATTCACCAAATCACAACATTTCAAAAAGTGCCAAACTATGGTGCTACTACAGTCTATAAAGCAAACTAGGCGGGCCTTGATCCTAACAGGGGGTGTTATATCCAGGGCGGGCCAAAAACAGCTATCAATAACGATCTCCGCCGTGTCTGGGAGGTGCTCAAATAAGGAAAACAAGGTCTTAAGGCCATTTGAGGTGGATATACGTACAGATGTGATATTAACATATTGTATCGGCACGGGGTGAGTCTTGTATACATTTGACATTTGCACGACCAGCGCAGCCAGTGCCAATTCTGGATATGCCTGGTCTTTAGGAAGACCACCCAGAATAGTCGGCAGAGTTATTAGATACTTTTCTAATGCATGCTGGCTCGTACAAAACGATTCAGTCGAGTTATAAAGGTAGCCACTGACAATGAGCCGTGCTTCTTGAGTATCTGTGCCTTGTTGGTCAGCCGCCCAATATAGGGCTTGGCAAAGCGATAGATGCGGATGGTTTACAAAAGCCACCAAAGGTGGCGTAGAGTTTAGCACCGACACAAATGGCCTAATACAACTGCTGAAGTCCTCTAAGCAGTCGGTATCAACTGAGACTGGTTCTCCCATATAATTTAAATCATATAAGCCGTGCTCAACAAGTATTTTGACCGATGATACTTCGATACAGGATTCACTGAGGCGCATTTTCAAATAGTCTTCTGTAAACTTGCTACGGGCATCGTTCGCCGTAAGCTGCAATAGACCCCGTTTAATGTAGGGCGATCTGACAAAGTCGTTTGCAAAGGGAGGATGCTGAATTATTAAATCCATAGTAGTGCGAATAGTCGTTCCTTGATCAACAACCATGCATAGATAGAGGAAAAACAGGTACTCTAGGGCCAATTCACATATTCTGTTGGTCTGTAATAAATGTCCGAAGATACCGCCATTGATCATTTTGTCTATTTCTTGAGCCGATGCTTGTAGGCCTTGTGTAGTATAGCTCTGGATAGTGAAGCTTTTGCAGATGAAAGATGCACATCCGTACAGTAGGGCATCAATGTCGCAGCTTCGGGGATAGTCAGTTGTCAGCACAAGTGAAAAGCAATCGACCCAGTGGATAGGGCGACCCCAGACTAACTTCTCATTGCTAGTGCTGATCCCCAAGAATTGAACCTGCGCAAACTGGTAGATTTTGGCTAGAACAGAGCATAGCTCAATCTGGTCATCCACTACGGAGATCTTAACAGGCGGCTTAGCCAATAGACGAGTTTGGTCATTTGGGGATATTTCAATAGAGTCACAAAGGCAGTTGATGCTCAGGGGGTTTGTAATATTGAAGTATACTTCATTTATCTCAGCAACAAGTAGTAATTGCTTCAGCAGCACAGCAAAGACCAACGGATTACACAACGGACCGGCCAACTTAATTCCACGGGCGGTAATCTTAGAGACCTTTTGAAGAGCAGCCAGATGCATCTCGGTGGCATCCACATGTAGTTTTGAGGCATTAATGTATCGATCCGGTGCGTTTATATTATACATCCCAGCGACTTGAACAATCTCATCATCCAAAAGGCAACTCTGGTCCTTTCTGTTCATCTCCATCGAAGGATAAAGCTTGAAGAGGCCTTTCAGAGTACCTGTCATTGCATGGCAAGACGCCTGGCTGTCATTAGCCGCATTCACACACCATACACCCATCATTAGAGTTGCACAAACCACCAGATCTACACATCTGCCAATAATTCTTATCTGTCTCTTGTAGAAGAACTGTTTGCTCATAAGCATTTTAAAAATAGCCCTTCTTATCTTATATTTTGATCTCTAATGAAATCAATTTATAGCATAGATGGCGCAAAGAGCCGTGGTATAGTAGCAGTGAGCAAGCCACAACCATATAATTTAACTCAAATACAACAGGCAGTTCTTTGTTTCTTCCATGTATAAGCATTCATATTACAAAACCACAATCCGACCACTAATTTAGTCTGTCCAATACTAACTGTGGCGTCCGTGCCATCCCCCACATCTTAATGAGAATCTCGTGATATATCTACTTTTAGACGAGTTAGTTACCAGAACAAAGAACTTAGGTATTTATTGTGGTACGCCGAGTATGAAGCTCGCCTAGTTTGAAATACAAAAGCCCTCAGCATGTAAGACTTGGTGATTATCTTTATTGAGCCAAAGTACCAAATGAGTCTCCTTTCTGTGTCTAGGACCAGGAATACAACCTTTCATCCCTAAGGGTAGATTTAGAAGTGGATGGTGCTATATTTTATTCGACTATACTTACTCGAGAGTTTTAGATAAGCTTTTATAGATTAGATAGTGTTAGTGTTGGGTTGGGTTGGATATGGCACATTGGCCAACACCGACTCTATTAAAGACATTTATTGAGACGAGTATCGATGTGATTTGTTAAGTAAATATGGTTGTGTGTGAGGATGACGTCATATTGAATTGTAGGGTAGATATGTAAAACTAAATTAGTCGAATCAGATTGACTCTATTAAAGTTGCAAGGCGTAATTAGCTGGCAAAACATTAGGTTGATCTTATGAGAGCTAAGTAGTGGTCGTATTGGTTTGGTATTGGGTTGGTATTGAATAGACATACTTAGAAAGTAAGTCTTTTTGATATTCTACTAATTTAGAGAATTTGCTTGGCTACAACTAGAATATTTTTGATATTGAT